AGATGGGAATAATCCTGGGGAGGGGCAGATGAATAACCTGGAATTCTCTGTGGGTGTGAGGGGGTACCAGGAAATGCAGGGGGAGGGGAAGGTGTTACAGCTCCAGACAAAGTGGGTGTCCTGATCAGTCCATGTGCCTTGTCAGGAGCCAAATCTTGGGGTAGATGGAGCGCTGGAACAGCCTGGAAGATTGCTGTGATCCCAGAGTGATCCCAGAGTGGTCCCAGATGATCCCAGAGTGATCCTGAGCTGCTCCCTTGGGGCTCCACCCCAACACCAGTGAAAACCCGCATCCTCCTCCTCGACTGAAGGATCCAAAAGGCTGCCACAAACCCAGGGATGTGATTCCCGTGGACTCCAGGACTTGCTGAACAGCAGGAAACAGCAAAACTGCCCCGTGAGAACCTGTGTGTTGGGTGTAGTTTTTGGTTTGGAGGTGCTGCAGATGCTCTGGACTGGTGGCTCACCCTCAGGGTGGGGTAAAGGAATAGCCCTTTCCATGTCATTCTGAGCAATTTCCCTCCAATTCAGCCATAAAGGCCTGGTCAGCTCTGCACAAACCTTGCACATTTTGTCTTTTTCTTAATCTCTTCTCTCCCCTATCCACTTAGAGGCCACCCCAGCCCTCAGCTGGGGGTACAAGAAGAAATAAAGAAAGAGGAGGAAAGCAAAGCGATGCAAGGGGCACCTGCAGCTCCGAAGTGGCCAAGGCTCCTGTTTTATGAGGAGATTCAGAACTTGGATCCCTCCAGAAGCAACTTCTCCTCCCGCTGCGTTGGGAGCAGCTCCCAGCTGTGCCTGGGAGCCAGGGAATGACCTCAGGCTGTCCAGATCAGGTTCTGCTGAGTGCACAGGCTTAGACCTTTCCAGAAACCCTCCCCTCCAAACCATCATGCCTTGGGGGGTTGATTTTCCTGGGGAAATCTTGGCCTCCACTGAGCCCTTTGGTCGCTTTTCCATCCCCACTTATCCACCTGAGGCCTGGGGGGGGTTCCTGGAATGGTGTGTGCTTTTCCTGGAAGAAGGAATGGCTTGTGCAGGAAGCCTGCAAAGGCTGAGGGGACGTCCAGGAGGGAGGTTTTTTTTTTTTGGGGGGGGGGTAGCTCTTGGATTCCACCCATTTTCGGGGGTGTCACTCACACCCAACGTGCCTTGGCTTGAGGGGAGCTCAATGGAAGATCCTGCCTGCTGTGCTGGCCAAAATTGGGCTTTATTGAAGGAACTGCAAAAAAAAAAAATGCAGAGGCCCAAACTTCTCATTTCCAGGAGGGGGATTAAAAATGAACCTGTGCCCATCGCCATCAGGATCAACCTGTGCTCTTCCTCTTTGGATAAGGAGTTCAGGTGAACTTTAGATCTTTGCACAGACCACGATCCTGAAAAATGTTGGAGGGGGGGGGGGATGTGAAAAAAGAGCAGATTTGCTTTTGTGGCTGTTTTTCAGCTTTGGGTGGGGTCGGCAGGAGGAATTGCCAGAAATTCTCCAGAGCCAACTCGTCCCTGGGAGGTTTTCTGGGCTGATATTTTCTTGAAAACTCCAGAGGTTTGGATTAGTCCCTGCTCTCCATCGTCCTGGAGAGCTTCCCACCCCTTGTGAGCCTGTTTTTCCGTTTCTCTGGGGGCGAGAAAAAGAAGTAAAACACATCCCCAAAACAACCCTCCGGCCTGGATGATGCTGAATTTTCCTGTGAGTTCATCAGTGATGTGCAAAAAAGCGCCATTTTCGGAGGCAGCCAGTGCTCTGTAATGTCTCAAAGCTCAGAAAACACAACCAGTGTGTGTGAGGAGAGAGCTGAGGGCCAGGAAAACAGAGGGGTTGGGAGCCAGGGAGCCATCAGGTTGGGGAAAGGGGGGGCGGCTCTCCCAGTGCAGCTGTTTTTGATTTAACCCTTTTAATTAATTCTTTCGGCCTGCACCTGTCGATGGCCTGGAGGAGGCAGCCCAGGTAGACTCCACCCAGGGAGAAGGTTTGTTCTTGTCTGCTTGAGGTCCAAGATCAGTTTTAGGAGGGGATAAGGAAAAAAAAAAAAAAAAAAA